GTGAAATACGCTTGACCTTCGAGAAAACTCCCAAGTTGTCGAATCAGTTGGCCAAAGAGAATCTACAGGCGCATCCCCACACCTGATATCCAACGAGGGTCAGCGAAAAAAGAGCAAAAGTAAAAACAAAATTTCTAGTTAGATATCCTATACGGTCTGTTGGCCATATGAACAACAGAAATTCGAGGACTTTTCTTGGATCAAAGCAGTTCATTTTTCATTCAAAATGTATACAGTTATTTACAGTGTGATAGGTTAGTCAAGCAATGTGCCTAAGCTAAAGGACCCGTCCTTCGGCGGAGTCTGATGAAGGAGAATTCAATTAAAATGGAAATTGATGCATATGAATTGAATTGATAAGGCTGGCGATGACACAGACCAGTTTGAGTGATGCTTTGCAGGCATGAACTACAAGCGGATTGGGGTCTGCGAGATGCAACAGCATTGGAATGAAAACAGATTCAGCTTGTGAGGCAAGCAGCGAATACGATGGGGACCAGTCCTCTTCCACATCCGGCCCGATTTCCGTCCTCTGACGAGTTGTGCCGACATTTTTCGACCAACTATCTCCCTTCGCCACGATGCCACGACTTCTGGTCGCCTCCGGCTCGTCTAGTCTGGATGGTTCGGCACGTACATGGCGTTCGGCAGAATCTCGCAACGATCCTCGAGGTCCAGACGCCTGGTAGGCCTTCTGTATGAATTGGCCCAATCCATCCTCCGCCGACTTGGTACGGATATTTGTCGCGAACCCGGCCAACCCAGCGAAAAGGTGGAATGCGCCTGCTCTCACCAGAGCTGATTCCGCGGTGTAGACGGGCAGAAGGCGAGTACAGACGCTGGCCAGCACGGGACGAAGCTGGGCCTCTGTTATGCAGGAAATGACCAGTCGAAGCCCATGCAGCGAGGCCAGTAGGATTGAACTGTCACAATCCTTTGAGAAAGAAGATAAAAGTGCAAAAAAAACGAATCAAGGAGTTATCAGAATGCTTTCAGTCCTGACAAATAGTAAACTTGGAACGTGATGTCTTCTGATATTATTGTGGGAGAATGCAATTATCTGGTCACCTTAGATGAAATATGATCTACTGGTAGTCTCGAAAACCTGCTTATAAAGCTATAATTATGTATGGAAAATAGAACTTTACTTCATCAAAAATCCCACCACATAATGTGATGTAGAAAAATGCCTGGCCTGCCTTGAAATTCACATCTGCTCCGTTACCCAACGACATTGGTGGCAATGTGGCGTTGCGGTTAATGTGTCGAGATCATACGCCGAAGTGTTACAGTGCAACTCCCGCTAGGAGAGTTGATGAGATCAGTTTAAGCGGGGTCGAAACTGCAGTCCATTCCTACCTGGATGAGAATATCTTTTGGGAATGCACAGCTATGTGAAATTCAATAATATAACATTGTAGAAAAATTCATCTACCAGTACCTTTATCACCTTAAACGAAATAAGGTGAATATATCTAATATGCATACTCTACTGGGAGCCCCGAAAATATTCTTAAAAACATGTAAACTGATATGCAGAGAAGCTTGGTTTCGAGGAACCCTTTAATAAACTGATGGCGGCGTATCCTTTATTAAGGTGAAGTAAGATTTCGACCGTCCGCCTTTCTTGGTTGTTTTTCTGGTGAATTTTCGTTAATGACAGCTTCTGGCTCTGAAGATGTCTGCATGGAAGGAAAGGTTTGGCATGACGGTCTGGCGAGATCTTCTTTGCATAATCCATCTTTTAGAAAGCAAGTCCTCCTTGAGTGTCAGATTATGTCAATTTACCAATTCCTTTCTACCGCCAAAATCAAACAATAAACAAATTATCACAGAAAAAGGATACATTTGCCTCTGGATTCATTTATAAAGTCCTATTCTTTGCTAGCATAGTGGGCAAATAAATTATAGGAGCAGAAGAAACCCGATCTCCTGTGATGGGCACCTATCGAATACAAAATAATCGTCCAGAATAATAAAATACCCTAGTAACGAGAATCAACGCAGACGACTCTTCAAAAGTAAAAGGATCAGTTGAAACCCTGGCATATAGGCCAAAGCATAGGGAGGTATGAATATATGTAGATGATATGAAACAAGTCGATATGACATATTTGCTGTTCTGTCATGATGACAAAAAGGAGTGAAGAAGCTGTTATAATAAAAAAACAAAGACTTGATAGGATGAGTGTCTGTATGAGATAGAATGCGTCAAGATGGACTGATTAATTATGCAAATAAAGCTGTAAGAGATTAAAGAGTAAAGCAGAACGTTCGAAGTAGAGGACTGTGGATTCGTTGATCCAGAGGATGGACAGAGGACCTCGGCAAGGATGCCCAGGAGCAAAGGAAGGATGGCATCTCTTCAGGGCTAGACAATGCATCACTGATTAAACATCCCCAAATATGTTTAAAGGGCATAGAAAAGGGGGAAAATGCGATTCGTAGTGCAACTCATGCAGCGATTGACCGCTCACCTGCCGATCGTCCATGGCACAAGCAAGAGAGCTCAAGAGCTGTGTAGCTGACCGGCGAATAATGTCAAGACATGAGCCGTGACCAAGGCAAATGGCGTTGATAGGTGAGCCAGAGGTCCGAGAATAGTCGGCAGCAGCACCGAAATCAGCGGAGGAATGGTAGGAAGCATTGCTGAACTCTATTGGGATACCAAATTGAGAGCTTTCAGCGTTCATGCAAGAGTATCCATCATGGGAAAAATCTACAGGAAAGAGAGATTGAAAAAATGATGAACGCGACAATAAAACTTACAAATAATATATTAAAGTAACACCCTACATATAAGTATCAAAAAAATGGACGATTAAGCATTCCTACAATAAAAGTGTAGTCATTAATAATTATAACATATAAAGATTAGCAGATATTGAATAAATTTTAATATGATACACAAGCTGTAATAGTGAATATGTTAAGTTCATGGCTCCGAGTCAAAAAGCAAACAAATTAATCATGAAACAGCAAAGATTCAGTGAATTTACAACAATCACTCCAAAAAATTGAAAGAAAAGCTCTGCCAAGTTGAGGCGAGAAGTAAGCAGATAGACAATCATTATGACCACTTTGGAAAATAAGTTTAATGCGAAAATGTTACATAACATGTAAGACATTTCTTAAAATTATAATTAACTACTCTAAGAAAGTACGAGGCAAATTGTAGCATCAAGTGAGGCAAATTAATGTAGTATCACTTCTCAGCAAAAGGAAAAACAAAATTGCTGCAAAAACAAGGCCGAAAGAGGATGTCGAATTTAAGTGTCCCAGTGAACAATTCATATGCATAAGCAGAGCAAGTATACAAGTTGAAATAGTAGCATGTCTCGGGATGATGCTACGCAAAGCGTCCTCATACATTTTAATACCAACGAAGAATGATGACACAACTTTGTGGGCCTCCCGTCTAAAGAAAAAGACTCAACTAAAGAAATTCGATTAATTTATTCTGAGAAATTCAAGCAATATAAAGAACAATTTTGTCACTCTGATGCGAGCATGACGCCAATGGATTAGAATTTCGAGCAATTCTAAAAATAAGTTACCTGCCAAATTAAATACAACCTGCAAGAAATTTCTTCGAATAAGAATGGAATGCATCAAGAATGCACGAGGGAGTAAGAAGAGGAAGATTCGTACAAAGTTAGATACGAAAATAAGGACATAGGCCTAGCATAATTATGAAAGGAATTTGTAACTCCGAGTCCAGACAGAACCTGCTCTATAACACAAGGACCTGGAATCGAAAAGCGGATGAGCCCAAATGAAGTTGAGCAGCGTCAAGCAAGTGCAGTAAAAATCGTCACAATGTCCCAACAAAATGCACCAGAGAAATATAGCGGACAGATGGAAACAAACATTTTAAGGGGTATAGAGGTTGTTTGACCTTGTTTTCGCAACATGTTCATATTGGTAGGAAGACTTAGAGGAGCGCAACTAGTCCGGAGTCCATTGTATGCATGATCATTTCCAAAGTCGGACCATGGACGTCGTTCATTCCCAGACGTTTCGCCGGCATGGTCAGTGAGTATCGCCATTCTTAGCACCACACAACAACTTGTCTCTTTGAAGAGTTGTTGTGTGGTGCTAAGAATGGCGATACTCACTGACGATGCCGGCTAAACGTTTATGAATGTACCACGTCCAAGGTTCAACTTTAGAAATGATCATGCATACAATGGACTCCGGACTAGACGCCTTCCTCCAAGTCTTCCTACCAACATGACCATGTTGCGAAAACAAGGTCAAACAACTTCTATACAACGAAAGGAGACTGTGAACACACAAAAAGCCACACCATCTTGGTCTTCATACCTTCGATTTTAATGGGTAGTTTCGAAGACCTGCTTATGAAGCCAAAAATGAGTAATATAATGGATTGCTATAGCAAATACAACTTTGCTCCGTCGGCAATTCCATCAAAGAACTGTGATATAGGAAAGGCCTAGACTTCCTAGAAATTAATTTCTGCTGTGACCCAGGGACATTTGTGTCCGTATGGTGCAGAAGGTAACCACCAGGGTTCGAATCCTGTTGGGTGTGTTGATGAGACCTAGGCGAGGTTTAAACTACAG